GAGATGAGATATTCTCTGGCTTCTCTTCTTCTCTTACACATTATAACAAGTAAACTTCCTGACTTTTATTTGTTCTTCAGTTTTTAAGAGAAAGTATACACTTGTTTTGTGGAACAAGCAATCTTCTAAAATAGTTAAAATGGCTTTGACTTAAAAATGTTGGAACAGGTATTTTTGGTTGAAAAGAAATCTATGTTCTTAAATGGATTGTTTCAATTGTTTTCTGGCTTAGAATATAAGGACTAGTTCTAAATTTTTGCAAGGGAAGCAATATTAGGGAGTTTTTATTTCTCTTCTCACATTAGCTCTTTTATTCTCTTTCAGCTGGTCGTGGTCAAGAACTCCATGTCTCCCAGACCCCACTCATTCTCTGGAACAATACAGGAGAGTCAGTATCGATGCACTGTGAACACCAGGGGGGTGTTACCTACAATGCTATGTACTGGTTCCGTCAGCTCCCAGGAGAGAGAATTCAGCTCATAGTCTACTCTGCTGTTGGTATTGACCCTGACTTTGGAGAATTCAGTACAGAGAAATATGACGTTAAAAAGCCTGAAGCTCAAAAAGGATCTTTCACAGTGAAGAATCTGGAACCAGGAGACAGCACCACATATTTCTGTGCAGCTGGCAAACACAGTGATGCAGAGCTGCTGCACAGCTTGTCAAAAACTCCTCCTGCCATACTGAAGTCTGTACTGTTTGCTGTCAAGAGTACAGTAACTCATCTTGATCTGTAGGGGAGGCTACAACACAAGAAATGGTGAAAAACCTAAACACTGAGTGGTAAAAACCTGCTCAAGTCTTTTAAACAGTTAAACAGTGGAAAGGAACACTTTTCCTTCTGAGTTTTTTTTTTAACATCTTTGACTACTGTACTAATTACTCAATTCATATGTTCCATAGCCAAATAAAGGACTGTGGCCTATAATGGTATTAAGTGTTAACTTCAACATCTCAGTTACACCAATACTGTGACAGGTATTTCAGAAGAGGTGAGTTCTGGTCTCTGACATCTAGCTGTCTGTCTAATGATGGTGCTGCTAAACGTCTTTTCTTGTACAATCTTGGGTATTTGACATGACAATTACAGCAGAGCTGTAGTAGACTCCCCCAGAGACTAAGGAGACCATTCAGATGTCCCTTGTGGGAGACCAGCAGGCATCCTCGCTAAGGATGGAGCTGAGCTGGAAGTATTCAATGCACAGGAATTGTAGTTAGAGCAACGAGAGCAGTCGAGAGCGGTCAAGAGCTGACTGACTCAACAAGCATTTGACTACTCAAGTTTAAACTCCAGCTTCAGCTGATGAGCTTCAGGTGTCAGTGGCAGCACCATCTTTCAAATCTAAAATACTGTATTTGGATGCACGACACTTTATTTTTCTTTTTCTTTTCTTGCCCTGTCTGCCTGCTTCAGTAACTGCATATTTAAGACATTTTCTAAGGTAAACCCACATCTGTGACTGGAAGCTTCACTATTGTGTCATGACCTTTCCAAAAGATCTCCTGAACTTTCCACATTCCCCCGCGTTGTTCCTTTTGAAGAATAAAGTGATACTAAACAAGAAGCAATTTTCTGGGCTAACAAGTTTACTGTTCATCATATTCAAATGGATATGTTTTTCATTACCAGAAAAAACTAAAATCCTTTAGCATAGTGGCATGACACAGCTTTTTAAATAGTATATCAATAATACAATATTTTTAAGTATACCAAACTTTTAATAGAATTTCATTTTTGTTTTGCTTCACAGGAGAACAACTTTACATCCTAGTGTTGGAAACAAAGATTTCAAGGGCACCAGAACATGTCAGGAAGTAACGGGAACATTTCTGACAGAATGCAGAAAAAATCTAATAAGTTGTGATGAAAAACAGTTTTCGGCTGGCTGCTCTGTCACTTCCTGCCCCACCCCCCACTCAGGGCCCACAGTCCAGATCAGGGCTGCTGTGCTGCTCTCCTCTCTCCAGCACTGAGGAGTCAAGATGCTCAGAGTTTTCACTGGGGTCACTGTCTTACTGCACTGGCTCATAGGTATGTGTACAATACTTCAATCAGGATTAACATACTTTACTCATCTCTTTCCTTTGCTTATGTGCTGCTCTAACTTGGGTTACTTGTTCTCTCTGTCAACAGGTCTCGCAGACAGTAACAGTGTTCACCAGGATCCTCCTGCACTGTTCATTACAAAACTCAATAAAACTGCTAAACTCAGCTGCAGCCACAACATAAAAAGCTATGAACGCATGTACTGGTACCAACAAAAAGCAAAAGGAGATTTCACACACCTTGGATATCTTAATATAAACTTCCCTAACCCTGAAGATGAGTTTAAAGACAGAATCACCTTAACAGGAGATGGAAGAAACAAAGGCGCTTTAGA